CAAAAAAAAAAAAAAAAAAAAAAAAAAAAAATCATATGCATGTATATGTATACCCATACATACATGAACACACACAGATAAGTATTTATGCATATGTGTATATATATGTTTATACTTATTATCAATAAACGCAAATGGCTTAACTATTAAAAGAAAAAAATTAGGGAATTCCCTGGTTGTTCAGTGGCTAGGACTTGGCACTTTCACTACCTGGGTTTGATCCCTGGTTGGGGAACTAAGATCCTGCAAGCAGCAAAGTGTGGCCAGAAAAAAAAAAAAGAAAAGGAAAAAAAATAGATTTGGTCACAGAGCAAAACCCAACTCTATTATATCTAAACACATCTAAAATAAAATGATAGAGAAAAGTTATGAATAAAGGATGAACAAGAGAAAATTAAGCAAATGCAAATAAAAGAAAGAAGGCATCATGATCTCAGTTTCAGAAAAAAGGAGAGATTCAGGCCAAAAGCATGAAATTAGACAAAGAAGAGAACTTTATAATGCTAAATATACAATTTACAGTGACAATGGAACAGATATGTCTAATTATGCAGAAAATAACACAGGAGCAACTTTCCTAGAGCAGAAATTATAGATGACATAAAGAGACAAAACAAATAACAGACTTTAATCATCCTTTCTCTGTCTAAAAAAACACCAAATGGGCAAAAAAATAAAGATACAGAAGATTTACAAAATGAAATCAACAAAATTAAATCTAATGGATAAATATGTATATCAAGGGCTTCCCTGGTGGCGCAGTGGTTGAGAGTCCGCCTGCCGATGCAGGGGACGCGGGTTCGTGCCCCGGTCCGGGAGGATCCCACGTGCCGTGGAGCGGCTGGGCCCGTGAGCCATGGCCGCTGGGCCTGTGCGTCCGGAGCCTGTGCTCCGCAAATGGGAGGGGCCACAGCAGTGAGAGGCCCGCGTACCGCAAAAAAAAAAAAAAAAAAAAAATGTATATCAAGCTCTGTATCCTGAAAATAGAACATCTTTTCAGATGTGCAGTGACCTTTAATGAAAACTATTTTTTGGGTCATAGGAAAACCATAATGAAGTCCCAAAGGTGTAAAAACAACACAAACATTCTCTGATTACAACAGAATAAATCTAAAATTAATAACAAAATCAGAAAATAAGCCCTTCCATCTGAAAATTTTAAAATTTCCAATTATTGGTTCAAAGGCAAAATACAAGCATACATTTCTGATTTTCTAGAAAATAACAAAAACACTACATTTCAAAACATTTGGGATTCATCAAAACCTGTGTTCAATGAAATATCTGTAGCATCAAATATTTATATTAGTAACAGATATATAGATCAATCCAGCTCGAAAGTTAAAAAATAAAAAGGACAACTAATTAACCAAGATAACTTGCTCATTTAGGAACACTTTACTGGCTTTTCTCCCTTCTGTGTCTCATTCCCCTTCCTTATGCTTCCTGGGAACACCTCTGATACAAATTACTACAATGTAAAATAAATAAATTTAAAAAACAAGTGAGAACATAAGGAAAGAATTAACAAAAATAAATGCAGAAATAAAATACAATATAGAAAAATAATGGAACATTGTAGTGGTAGGACAAAATTGAATACACCATTGTGAACTCATATTTTTTAGAAGAAAAAAATGTACTTCTAGCTCTACTCATAAAATGTGCCAGAAGTATTGTTACCCTAGTGGTAAAGAACTCCCCTAGCACCCAGATTTTATACCTCAGTAGCATTCTCCATTAAGAAGAATCAAGGCTCCTTCAGAAAGGGTTGATACCAAATCTGGGTCTAGGGAAAGTACAAGGTGAGCCTGGAACAATTAATTTTGTTCAGAAAGCAAGGATTCAAAATTCATAGGGTCATGGCAAAAAGAGATAGGGGCAAGATATGAGACATCCATACAAGGCAAAGATGTGTCAGTCTGACCATTAAAAAGAGTAATAACTGGTAGATTGAAACACACTGACTCAATGAAAATTACTAAGTCCATAATGATACTAACACAGAGAAAGTCCTAAAATCTCACGTTGCCATTTGAGGTACCTATTAAACCATTCCTTGAATATGAAAATTGGTAAATAAAGGGGGAAAACTAAGCATCAATCTTGACTGTCTAATATGAAGTCAATCTAATCAACAAATAGATGATTTGACCATTTCTTTACTATAAAGAAGAATGCCAGTTAATAATGTAGAAGGAATGAAAGAATTATAAAATCATTCTGTAACCCTTAATAAAATGGTTGACCCACACAAGAATTCTCAAATATTTTGTATTTTGTTGATGGGAAACTGGCCATTCACAAACTGCCAAAGTGACACCACACCATTACAAGGGGAAAAATTAGCTGTTCAATGGAGGGATCATACTGTCATCATCCTAAGCCAGCCAGGGATTTTATAGTGGGTCACCCAGGTATTCAGGTCTACTTACCTAATATTAGTTCTAGCCAAAAATGTTTAACTTGAGTCTTTCAATCTTTTTTCCAGTTTATGGAAATCCAGGGTACAGGGGCAGCAAAATAAATGATACAATGAGGAAGCAACCAGAAAAATACAGAGGGTAGGAGACTGGCCTGGACTCATCAAAAAGTCTGGGCTGTGAGAGGGAAAATGGGACAGTGAAACTGTTCTAAAGTAAAAAAAAATTAAAAGGCATAACAACCAGATGTGTTATGTGACCCTGGCTTCTAGCCTGGTTTGCACAAATCAGCTTTAAAGACATTTTGGAAAAAAATGGACCAGTTTGAATTTGGATTGAGTTTAGATAACATTAAGGTGTATTGACAGGGAAAAGGGAAGATTATTAACTGAGCAAAATAGATTATAAAATAGCACATAGAAATGATCCCTTTTTGGTGAAAGGAATGTGTGTATGTTGTGTATACACACATGTGCATATAAAAGATATACAGATATAAAATAAAAAGTCATCAGTCGTAATCTCTGGGTGATAAGAATATCACGCTTTGCTTTCTTATTTTGCAACTCTGTATTTTCGAACTTTCTACAATGCATATATACTTCTCTGGTAATAATAAGAGGTAACTTTCAAAAAACTCAATGTAGTTTTACAATGTTAATATCCTATCAGGGTCTATTTATGTAAGCATCAAAATACTTGAAAGTAACATTTGCTATAGACAATCTGCAGAAAATTCAACTGTGGATGTTTAAAACTGACATACTGCTGAGGCTGTTCTGAGATGACTTATCACCTGTTAATCATTATAACCTAAAATGTCAGCTCTGTCACTCTTTAACAACTCTCATCACAAGGAATTAACAAGTCACACTCCACAAAAAAACCAAAGGGGAGTTCATTTCAGTCCAAATCCCTAGAGAAATTCTTGCCTCACCTCTTTCCTCTGATGCGTGGGGCTCAGGTCCTTTGCCCTTGAACTGGACTGCTGGAGGCTGAACTCTGGTACATGAAGATTCTTCATCTAGGGTCTTAAGTGTCACTGTCTGCAAAAGGATCTTCTGTTCCAGAGCACAGGCTGAAAGCTAGAGACAAGCAGCACTCATTAGGCCTGTAAGGATATCATGAATTTAACAGG